TTTGGATGCTAAATTCTCAGTAGAAATAGCTAATCTGTACAGAGATTTCATAAAATTGATAGTTGAACAAAGTACATCCACATACCCAAATTGTTGCACACATCTTAAAAGTTTTCTAAGAATGGGAATGAGTATCTGTTCTGAAATTAAAATAGATAAAGACTTGAAATTCAGTTCCTTAGCCACAGTAGCCACATTTCAAGGGCTCTGCAGCCACATGTGGTTCGTGGTTCCCTTGGTGGGCATGAAGGTTAATAAACTCCTGGCCAGGCGCGGTGGCTCACGCCTGTAATCCCAGCACTTTCCTGGGAGGCCGAGGCAGGTGGATTACCTGAGGTCAGGAGTTCGAGACCACCCTGGCCAACGTGGTGAAACCCTGTCTCTATTAAAAATACAAAAATTCGGCTGGGCGCGGTGGTTCATGCCTGCAATCCCAGCACTTTGGGAGGCTGAGGCAGGCGGATCATGAGGTCAAGAGATCGAGACCATCCTGGCCAACATAGTGAAACCCCGTCTCTACTAAAAATACAAAAATTAGCCAGGCATGGTGACACGCGCCTGTAATCCCAGCTACTTGGGAGGCTGAGGCAGGTGAATCACTTGAACCCAGGAGGCAGAGGTTGCAGTGAGCTGAGATCACGCCACTGCACTCCAAATTGGCGACAGAGCGAGACTCTGTCTCAAAAAAAAAAAAAGAAAAGAAAAGAAAAAAAACTACAAAAATTAGCTGGGCGTGGTGGCAGGTGCCTGTAATCCCAGCTGCTCGGGAGGCTGAGGCAGGAGAATCACTTGAACCTGGGAGGCGGAGGTTGCAGTGAGCCGAGATTGAGCCACTGTGCTCCAGCCTGGGTGACAGAGTAAGACTCCGTCTCAAAGTAAGTAAATAAATAAATAAACCAACAAACAAACTCCTTAAGGCCAGGACAACACTCCCAATCCCTCTGCTCTCCCCTCTTCCCCCGCTCACATCGAATTGTAATTGTTCATTTTGGAGTTTCTCAGTCTCTGCGCTACAGACATTTGGACCAGATCATTCTTTGTGGCAGTGTGGGGTGGGGCTGTCCCGTGCATTGTAGGATGTTTAGCAGCATTCCCGGCCCCTACCAAGGAGATGCCAGTAGCATCCCCTCCCCGAGTCCTGACAACCAAAAATGTCCCCAGGCATTGCTAACTGTCCCCTGGGGGTGCAGTCTTCTCCATTAAGAACACTGATCTACTGCGGGGTGAGAGAGGGGTGACACTAAGCCAATTCTCTCCATCTCCCAGGTACCTGTCCAGTGCCTGATGCACAAAGGTGCCCAAGCCTGAACCTGAACAGAAGAGGCTTACTCCACCCTGAGACTCACCTCTTCCAGGAAGCCTTCCACAATGCCTTAGCCCAGTTAGTGTTTCTGCTGGGCTCCCACAGCCCGCTGCGCTCACCGCTGGCACAGTCCCCTCCAAGGGTAGGAAATGGGCCTTGCTCACTGTGTATTTTCAAGGCCTGCCCCGGAAGTTGGTATACAGACCTGAGAAACAGGGACGACTTAGGCTGAAAGCCATGCAAGGCCAGTTTTACCCATTTTAATTCAGGGCTTCCTCATCCCAGCAAAGGTGATAATATCAGCAACAGTTCCATTTATACACCAGGCAATGAGCTAATATCCACAGGATTTAGAGAGGGAAACTGAGCCTCACACAGGTGAAACTTGTCCTGGATTCCAATGACCTTGAGGCTTAAAATTCCTGGTTCCTCCTCTTATGGATCAAATGAAGTCATGCATGAAAAAAGACATTTGTAATACATATCAAATAAATATTTATACCTGCAACATATAAAGAGTTCTGTGAAATCAATAAAAACAAAAGGACAGGCAACACAATAGAAAAATGGGAATGTCTGAAGACATACTTCATAAAAGAGGTTATCTAAGTGGTCAATAAACATATGAAAGGTGCTCAAACTCAAATCCATCGGGGGAAAAAAAGGAAATTTAAAGTACATTGTGGGATCATTACATAACTAACTAAAAAGAGAAAAGGATACCAAGAGTTGGCAAGGATGTAATGCAACCAGAATTCTCATACTCTGCTGGCGGGATGGAAACCTGGTACAACCCATTTGGGAAACTCTGGCTTACCTGAGACAAAGACTGAATGTGCACCTTCTCTACAACCCAGTAATTCTACTGCTGATTACACATCATGAGAAATGCATTCAACTGTTCACCAAAGGGCACATATCAAAATGTTCCCGGTGGCACGATCGTAACTGCCCCCAACTGGACACTATCCAAATGCCCATTGGCTATAGAGTGGATAAATAAGTAAATATAAATACATAGATATATACTAAACAGCCAGGAGAAAGAACAAACCAGAACCTCAGGCAATAATAACACCTGTGATGCACGAAAGAAGTCGGCACAAGAGAGACCATAACACGTGGTTCTGTCAGAGGCACTGGAACCACAGCGACTCCATCTCTCCAATATGGGCTGGGTAAATGAGGCTGAGACCTGCTGGGCTGCATTCCCAAGAGGTCAGGCATTCTTAGTCACAAAGACAGGAAGGCAGCAGGACTGGTTTCATAAGATACAGGTCATAAAGACCCCGCTAATAAAACAGGATGCAATAAAGAAGCCAGACAAAACCCGCCAAAACCAAGATGGCAACAAAAGTGACCTCTGGTCATCCTCACTGCTCATTATAGGCCAATTATAATGCATGAGCATGCTAAAAGACACTCCCACCACCAGCGCCATGACAGTTTACAAATGCCATAGCAATGCCAGAAGTTACCCTGTATGGTCTAAAAAGGTGAGGAACCCTCAGTTCCAGGAACTGCCCACTCCTTTCCCCTTATTTAGCATACGATCAAGAAATAACCATAAATATAGCCAACCAGCAGTCCGCTGGGCTGCTTTGTCTATGCAGTAGCCATTCTACTGTTTGTTTACTTCCTTAGTAAACTTGCTTTCACGTTATGAATTCACCCTGAATTCTTTCTTTCTTTTTTTTGAGATGGAGTCTTGCTCTGTTGCCCAGGCTGGAGTGCAGTGGTGCAATCTTGGCTCACTGCAAGCTCCGCCTCCTGGGTTCATGCCATTCTCCTGCCTCAGCCTCCCGAGTAGCTGGGACTACAGGCACCACGCCTGGCTAATTATTTTTTGTATTTTTAGTAGAGACGGGGTTTCACCGTGTTAGCCAGGATGGTCTCGATCTCCTGACCTCATGATCTGCCCGCCTTGGCCTCCCGAAGTGCTGGGATTACAGGCATGAGCCACTGTGCCCGGCCTCACCCTGAATTCTTTCTTGCACAATGTCTAAGAACCCTCTCTTGGGGTCTGGATCGGGACCCCGTTCCAGTAATAGTTCCATGGACATAAAGTACAAAAGCAGGTGAAATTCTAGGGGGAGATATCAGGATGGTGGTTACCCCTGGTGGGGGAGGGGTAACTGGAGGGGGGAGCAAGGTGTCCTGGGGCAGGGAGGGGCGCTGTGTACATTCAGCTATTGACCTAGGTGCTGATCACACGGACATACTTGTCTTTTGAAAATTCATTAAGCTGTATGTTTATGAAGTATGCACTTTTCTGTAACATGTTAGACTTGAATAAAAATAGTCTTAAAGAATCACACTTTCAGCAAGCTTGGTGGCTCACACCTGTAATTCCAGCACTTTGGGAGGCTGAGGCAAGAGGATCACTTCAAGGCCAAAAGCTGGAGGCTGCAGTGAGCCATGGTTACACCCCTGCACTCCAGCCTGGGCAACAGAGACTTTTGTCTCCTAAAAAAAGAAAATTAATGGCCTGGCACGGTGGCTCATTCCTGTAATCCCAGCACTTTGGGAGGCCAAGGCAGGAGGTTCACCTGAGGTCAGGAGTTTAAGACCAGCCTAGCCAATATGGTAAAATCCTGTTTCTACTAAAAAATACAAAAATTAGCCGGGCATGGTCGTGGGTACCTGTAATCCCAGCTACTCAGGAGACTGAAGCAGGGAGAACTGCTTGAACCTGGGAGGTGGAGGTTGCAGTGGGCCGAGATCGTGCCACTGCACTCCAGCCTGGGTGACAGAGCAAGACTCTGTCTTGGAAAAAGGAAAGAAAAAAGAAAGAAAGAAAATTAATTAAAGAATCACACTTTGTCAAATGCTGAGGAATGGTGTTGCTGGCTGGGGCATGCTACCCGCCCCACTCCACCCCACACACCTTTCTCGGCTGCTGCAGAGGAACACACAAGACTCTTCTCATTCATTCAATCAACACTTGCAGGACGGCGCTCTCCCAGGGCTCGGCTCGGTGCCGGCTGCCAGGAACTTAAAGGGGAATTGAGCTTCAGCCTCTGATCATGCCACCCACACCCCAGCTCCTGGCACAGACACTTCCCAGACCCACACTCAATAAATAAGCAGCCAGGCCACGGTGGCTTTTGATCAGATGCCAAGGAGGTGATGTCTGCTTGTCTTCCTCTTTCTCTACAACCCATGAAAAAGTTTACAGGGTTTTTTTCTTATGCGGGGCCAAACCCAGCCATTCTGGCACAGGTATCAGGAGGTCACACTCGGCTACTTGTCTTTGACCTAGATTGGGCCAAACGTCCATCTTTGAAGCAACACTGCAACCTGGGAATGAAATGCTGTGATTAGCTAGGCCTAGGTTACATGCCCTCTCTCCTCCCTCCAGCCCAGGAGATATTAGCACCCCTGGATGCTCCCCACAGGCTGACATCTCCTGAATTGTCGTCTCCAGCCCAAACCTCTCTCCTCACTTAGACGTAGGTGCCCATTCTCTTCCTCCCTGAATCTGGTCCTTTCCCCAGCATACCCCACCTGCAGCTGGTAGCAGCTCCATCCTTTCATGCTCATGCCAAAAACCTTGAAGGCAGCTTTGATTCTTCTTTCTCACCCTAATCCAATCCAGCAGCAAATCCTGTTAACTTCACCTTTAAAACAGAGCCAGAATCCGCCATTTCTCACCACCCGCACTGCCAGGCGTTTGTTTCAGGCGTTCACTTCTTACCACTCTGGTCCAAGCCACCTCATCACCAGCTTCCCTGATTCTGCCCTTGTCTTATCAGTTGATTTTCAGCAAGCAGCCACAGTGACCTTAGGAAAACGGAAGTCAGGCCATTTGCTCCTGACTTCTCCTTTGCTCCGCACCCTCCCATGGCTCCTACTTTACTCAGGAAAAACCAGTCCTCATTTGCCTTACAGGTTTGGCCCTGTCTCTTACCTTTCTGCCCCCAACCCCACTGGCCCCTGCCTCTTCTCCAGCCACGCTGGCCCCCTTGCTGTCCCTCAAACACACAAGCACACTCCCTCCTCTGGGTGAGTGCCCTGGCTGTGCCCGCTGCCTGGATGCCTTTTCCGCAAACATCCACTTGGCTCACTCTCTCACCCTCCTGTCCTCTCTCACATCTCACCTCTTCAAGGTCTCTTCTGATCAACCAGTTAATGCTGCAACCTGCCCCACCAACACGGCACTCCAGAAGCCCTCACCCTGTGTGACTTGTCTCCCCCAGCACTCACCGCCTTCTAACACATCATATGATATTACATATTCTGCATTCATTGTCTGGGGGCCTTGAATGCTCTGCTTACTGAGCACTGCAGCTCAGTAGGTGCTCAATTAATATTTACTGGATAGAGCTGTCACTCTGCACCCCTTCTCCTGAGGACACAGAATCCTGACTGGCCCCTCTCAGCATAGCAACCGTGAAATGGCCAATTCTCTACTAGTCTGTCACTTGGATTCCTGACAGCATTTCAAACTCAAGACAATCAACCTGAACTCATAATGGGATCTCCTGAGCTTGGTTTCTCTTCCAGGCTTGCCTGTTGGAACAAGCCAGAAACCCAAGATCATCATGAACCTCTTCCTCCCCATGAACCCCTGATCCAATCACCACTGAGCCCTGTGCATTTACATGAACCCCTGATCCAATCACCACTGAGCCCTGTGCATTTACATGAACCCCTGATCCAATCACCACTGAGCCCTGTGCATTTACATGAACCCCTGATCCAATCACCACTGGGTCCTGTGCATTTACATGAACCCCTGATCCAATCACCACTGGGTCCTGTGCATTTACATGAACCCCTGATCCAATCACCACTGGGTCCTGTGCATTTACATGAACCCCTGATCTAATCACCACTGGGTCCTGTACATTTACATGAACCCCTGATCCAATCACCACTGAGCCCTGTGCATTTACATGAACCCCTGATCCAATCACCACTGAGTCCTGTGCATTTACATGAACCCCGATCCAATCACCACTGAGCCCTGTGCATTTACATGAACCCCTGATCCAATCACCACTGGGTCCTGTGCATTTACATGAACCCCTGATCCAATCACCACTGAGTCTGGTGCATTACATTCACCGCCCCCAGGATCCAGCTGTTTCTCTCCATCACCAGCAGCCCAGTCCAAGTCCCCATTGTCCTCCACCTGATCATGCTTCCACCCCTGCCTGTCCCCATATGGTGGCATGTCACCCCCTGCCTTCACTACACTTCCAAAGCTTCCCACTGTCTTCAGGATGCAATTTCTTCACGTGGCTTAGAGGGCTGTCATGATCAGACCCCTTCTCCAGCCCAGTGGACTTTCTATCAGCCCCAAGGGTGCCATGCATCCCTGGTTTTCTTATTTTCATTCTCAGTCACCTTCGACCCCTGGTGCAGACATATAACCTAGGCCTGGCCAATCACAGCATTTCATTCCCAGGCTGCAGTGTTGGTTCAAAGACGGACGTTTGACCCAATCTAGGTCAATGAAACTCAACTGGAGACTCTTACAGAATTCTGTGGGGAGGCTAAGCAAGTAGGGTACAGGGCTGGAGGTGTGGGGGCCATCTCTAGTCACCACCTGCAAAGCCTGCGTGACAGCAAAGCCAACCTCGGAAGGTGGAGCCAAGAGATGGAGACATAAATCCCTGAAATTAGTTGAGTCCTTGGATCTAGGCATACCTGAGGCTCACTTCTTACATAATTCAATAAATTTACCTTTTTGCTCAATGCTATGGTTTCTGCCTCTCAAGAGTCCTAGCTAACAGGTATATCCATACCCTCTTCCCCTCTTATCTTGGGCTGCTTGTTATCTCCTCAGCTCAAGTATCCCCTTCTCCAGGAAGCCTTCCCTGAATACCCCGACTAGATTAAGCTCTACCCTCCCATGTCTCACAGTCCTCTCTGTCTACCACTCACCATTCTGTAAGGTAAATGCTGTTTGCCCTTCTGTTTCCCATATTCCACTGTGAGTGCTCACGGGCTGGGAGGCACCGCAGTCTGGTGGTGGTTTTTTCTTCTCTTTCTTTTTTCCTATACTTATCACAGAGCCTGACACTGAGAGGCATTCACATTTTACTTTTTGAGATCATTTTGCTCATAGTAAGTTTCCTCAGATATCAGGGAGTAGTGAAAAAGGAATGGGTTTTGCAGAAAGATGCACCTGAGTTTGAATTCCCCACCTATCAGCTTTGTGACCTCAGGTAAATCACTTAACCTCTCTGGGCCTCATTTTTCTCATCTGTGAATTGGGAGAGCAGCTAAGTACATGGAAGGGCTTTACTACCGTATTAGAGTCCAGTTAAGTGTTTAATTAATGATCGTTCCTGGCTCTACTTTCTTTCTCCAGGGACTGCTCAAGCAATCCTCCCACCTCAGGCCCCAAAGTAGACAGGACCACAGGTACACACCACCCACACCCGGCTAATTTTGTTTATTTTTTGTCAAGATGAGGTCTCTCTATGTTGTCCAGGCTGGGCTAAAGCGATCCACCCTCCTCGGCCTCCCAGAGTGCTAAGATGACAGGTATGAGCCATGGCGCCTGGCCTAGTTCCGCCGTCTTATCTGAAGGCTCGGGTGATGGCCCGGGCCAGTCATCAACTCTGACTTCCGCCCCAACAATGTGGATGTGAGTTTCCACACAAGATGTGACTCTAGAGTATCTTTATTAACATGTCAGAAAGTTTTCTGACGTTTCTGCTTATGAAGTCTTCAGCTAACTTCCCTCTTCCCCTGGCCCCAACTGCTCTTTATGGCTTTTCTGATTGCATGACTTTCCACTTCTTTGTTGTGGAGGTTTTGCAATGGCTGACAGCCAAAAAGTGAAAAGGCTTGACCAAGGACAAAGCGAGCAAGAAATAAATACTTGCTGGATGTAATGTTCCTCAACAAGATGGCCTCAACCTTTTTTTTTTTGTGGTTCATCCAGGAAGCATGAGGCCTTTATCCAGGTAATATTTTGGGCATATTACTAGGGGCAGCAGTTGGCTCTAGGTGGGGGTTTTAAGAGCAGAATTTGCCAGCCCCAGTTCTGGGGTAGCGCATAGTAGGAATCCAGTTTCCTGAGCATTCGGCTGCTCCTCTGTTTCCTTCCTGGACAGACTGTGCTACCTTCTTCCTTTTCACGCACTCCTAGAAGCAGGAAGAACCGGAAGAATTGCAAAGGCTTTAAGAGCTGCTCAGAGTATGAACACCTAAACAATTACGGGGAGAAACCCGTAAGAGAGAAGGGGCATGATCTCATGGTTCACTGTTTTGGGGGGTAGATTCACAGTTGGGGAACAGCCTTTTCCTAATGGTGCAGGGCTTTGGGGGACCTGGGTCTTATGGAAAACATTTCCATCTGCAGACTTGCCTGGCCATTACCAGGAAGCAAAATGTCATGGGAGGAGTCCCTTAACTTCTCTGAGCCTCAGTTTCCTTATCTGTAAAATGGGTGAAGAACAACAAAATCTTCGTTGCTATGAATTACTGAGCACTTCTATGCATTAGGTGCCACATAACGATTATCTGTCACCCACAAAATCATCACTATTATGATCCCTGTTGCACAGATGAGGAAACTGAGGACCAGAGAGAAGTGTCTGGCCCAAGGTCTCAAAGCTCATGCATAAGCCAGCTGGAGTTCTAACTCAAGTGTGTCTGACTTGAGAGTTGCTATCATCCCACAACAACAGGCCTCCTCTTGCTGCCTGCCTCCCGGGTCACTGTGAGGTTCCAATGCCATCACACGCGCAAAAGATAAAGATACTCCCTGAGGCACCTGTTTGCTCAGGAACCAGCAAGCCATAGGTATTGGGGAGGCAACTGGCTGGAAACAAATACAAGTCCTTTGGATCTTCATTGTCTGCTTTTCTCCTGGGCTCCCCTCATGCCCAGTCGTAAGTAGAGAGGGTCCCAGAGAACAGAAATGAGGAAAAGGCAACAGTGAGTAACTGCATCCTTGCAATGAAGGAGTGCCCACCAGCATCCTCACCCCCAGAATGTAGGCTCCCAACCACGAGTTGCACTGTGCCTATCACCTCCCACCACAACTCCAGCCCTGCCAGGAACTCGCCACCAACCAGGAGAACCCAACCAGAAGGGGGCTGGGAGGACCCGTCCTTTCCTATCCGCTCTTGGAGGGGCTGCATGCCATTGGCTTTCTGGACCATAAAATGAGACGTGCCATGAACTTCCCCACCCTGTCCATCCCGGGACCCTCTAAGGGACTCCAGCACGAGGACACAGTCCATGACCTCTAAGATTTGAGCCCTCCCTACGAGGACCTGTCCTCACTCAGTTTCATTTCCTATCACACCTTAGATGCAGAGGTAAGAATCTAGGTTTGACTCCCGCTCCTCCACTTCCCCAGACAAGTGGTCCAATTCCCCCGTGCCCCATGTCTTTCATCTGGAAAATGGGGATAACAGCACTTCCCTGGAGGTTGAGATGAATTTGCACCTAGGAAGTCCTTAGCAGAGTAACTGACACACACTAGAACATCCATAAACACTGGCTGTGACTATTACGACTTTGACACGGAATGCCTTCTTGACCCCGTACTGATACTATTCCTTCTTCCCACAATGCCTCCCTTCCCTTTTTGCCTCCTCTCCCAAATAATTACGGCAATAACAGTAATCATCACACATACCAATTGCTAAGGGCCTCCTACTTGCAAGACCATGCACAGAATGCCTCTCAAAGACCATCTCCTTCCTGGTGCATCCTCCCGAGACAGCGACACTATCATTTCTATACTTCCCCTTGTGTCCATCTAAAACATCAGCTCTCCCAGGGCAGGAGGAACAGGGTCTCTCCTGCTCACTGCTGGATTCCCGGCATCCAGCATAGAGCAGGCACACAGGAGGTGCTCGGTATTCGCTGCATAAATGAGACCTCACTGAATCCTCACAAAGACCCACTGGTGTAAGTGATGACGGTATCCTTTTAAAATGAAGATGCAAAGGACACACACAAAAATTAAGGAAATCATTCAAGGCTGCATCACACCAAATGGCAAAATGCAGACATGAACCTGGGGCTGTGGAGTGCTAAATTCACACTCTTACTAATTAAGGAAATTCCACGTTCCAAACGGGGCTCCACCCCGTACGCCTTGGAAGGCTTCTCTGACAGCTGCCACTGACAACGATGGAGCTGGTCTTCTCGAAACACCATCAAAGCTGGACTTTGAAAGTAACATTCCTGGGAGACTCTCTGTACCGGCAAAGCCCCAAGTCAGATCTATAGGAGCTTATGGGTCAGCACAGGAGATTGACATCCAAGTAATGGGATAATTTGCAGAACGAAACAAGAGCTTGGGCCGGGCGCAGTGGCTCACGCCTGTAATCCCAGCACTTTGGGAGGCCGAGGCAGGCGGATCACGAGGTTGGGAGATCAAAACCATCCTGGAAAACACAGTGAAACCCCATCTCTACTAAAAACACAAAAAATTAGCCGGGCGAGGTGGCGGGCGCCTGTAGTCCCAGATACTTGGGAAGCTGAGGCAGGAGAATGGCATGAACCCAGGAGGCGGAGCTTGCAGTGAGCTAGAGACCTCGCGCGCACTCGCCTCAGCCTGGGTCACAGCAGCGAGGCACCCTGTCTCCACAAAAACAAAAACAAAAAGAAACAACGAGCTTGGTTTAGGGGAGCAAGTCAATGGTCATCACGGACATCAGAGGAAGGCACATCGTTGAGCTGAGTCTAAAAGAATGCCAGCATTTTAACGCGTACAGAAGTTGGAGGAAGCATCCCAAGTAGAAGCGAACAGCTCGAGCAGAGGGCAGAAGTGTGAAAGCACACTGGGAAAGTGTGGAGAATGGCAAGGAATTCACTGTGAACAGACACAGTCTCTGTGGAGGAGGGGAAAGTAAATAATCATGGCAATAAGAATAACAACAACAATAAATAGGAAGACTAAGCCGGGCACACGTGGCTCATGCCCTGGTAATCCCAAAATTTAGGGACGCGCGAGTGGGAGAATTACTTGAGACAAGGAGTTCAAGACCAGCCTGGGCAACATAGCAAGACCCTGTCTCTAAAAAAAAAAAAAATAAATTAGCCAAGGTGCGTGGTGGTGGCTACTTGTAGTCCCTGCTACTTGGGGGGTGAGATCACTTGAGCCAGGAATTCAAAGGCTGCACGCAAGCCTCATGATCACGTCACAGCAATCCAGCCTGGTGACAGAGCAAAACCTGTCTTAAAAAAATAAAAAATAAAAGCAAACACGCATATATGCTTACTGTGTGCCTGGGGGGTTTTCTACACACTTACAAATACTTGTGCTTTTTTTTTTTTTTTTTTTTTTTTTTTGAGACTAAGGTCTCGCTGTGTCGCCCACCGGCTGGAGTGTAGTGGCGCTATCTTGGCTCACTGTAACTCCACTCCCGGGCTCAAGCGATTCTCCTGCCCTCAGCCTCCCGAGTAGCTGGGACTACAAGTGTGTGCTACCACGCCTGGCTAATTTTTTTGTATTTTTTTTCTTTAGTAGAGATGGGGTTTCACCGTGTTAGCCAGGATGGTCTCGATCTCCTCGACTTGGATTCACCCCACCTTGGCCTCCCAAAGTGCTGGCATTAGAGGCCTGAGCCACAGGCCCAGCCATTTTTTTTTTTTTTTTTTTTTGTGAGACAGAGTCTCGCCTCTGTCTGTCACCCAGCGCGTGGAATGCCAGGAGCACCAATTCTCTGGCTTCCAACTGCCCAAACCCTCCATACTCCCAGGTTCAAGTGATTCTCCTGCCTCAGGCCTCCTGACTAGGCTGGGATTACAGGCTTGGATGCCACCATGCCTGGGCTAATTTTTGCTATTTTTTAGTAGAGATGCGGTGTTCACCCGTGTGGCAGGCTGGTTCTCAAACCTCCTGACCTCCAGGAGGAGGTCTAGACCTCCCAACAGTGCCTAGGATTACAGGCATCAGGCACCATCGCCCGGGCCGAGTTTCATTTCTTAGGGTCTCACCCCACAGGAGTGAGAGAAAACATTTATACAGTAATATTAGCTGGAAGGACAAGCGAGTATCAGTCTAATGTCCTCATGAAATAAACCATCAAAACTGTATTATTACACTTCTTTAAGGAATTACCAAAACGGAATTACAATTAAAATCAATTATACAGGCTGGTCTCGAACTCCTGACCTTAGGTGATCCGCCTGCCTCCACCTCCCAATCACTCATTTAATCCTTACAACTAATCTATGAGGACAGTGCTCTGTCATTCCATTTTACAGTTGAGGAAGCCAAGGCACAGAAAGGTGGAGTCCTTGCCTGAGATCTCACAGCAGGTTTTAGTGCCATGTGCTTCATCTGCTTCACCTCTACTACCCCAGCTCTCGACCTGGGTTCTCTGATCAGCAGGAACAGCACTTGGGAACCTACACAAAATGCAAATGATCAGGGCTCAAGGAGACCACGCTGAATGGGAATTCCGGAAGTGGGGTAAAGCAATCTGTGTTGACGAAGCCCTCCATCCACGGTGAGGTCAGCAACCTCTGCCCCACAAACCTGACCACGCTCTGCAATCCACAGGACTGTGCCACGGGGACTATGCTTGGAGACCCCAAGGTCCTCAGAGAAGGAAGATTTTGTCCAGAGTCCTGCAGTAGGCAGAGGAGAGCAAACCAGGCCTCGAACCAGAATCTCCCATCTCTCAGAAGTGGGTGTCTACACGACAACCCCTGAAGGATGTCAAAGCAGCCACCGGCTCAACACGCTCCCTGCACTACTCCCAGCTTCTGAGGCATGGAAGACCCAGACCCCATTACTTCCAAGTTATCTGCATGATCCAGAACAACTCACCTCAACTCTCTGGGCCTCAGTTTCCCCATCTGTGAAAAGAAAAAGCTGGACCCTATTTCTTTCTATTTTTTTTTTTTTTTGGAGACAAGGTCTCACTCTGTCACCCAGGCTAGAGTAAAATGGCATGATCTTGGCTCACTGCAGCCTTGACCTCCCAGGCTCAAGCAATCCTCCCACCTCAGCCTCCAAAGTATCTGGGAATAAAGCATGCGCCACCATGCCCAGCTGATTTTTGCACTTTTTTGTAGAGACAGGGTTTCGCCACATTGCTCAGGTTGGTCTTGAACCCCTGAGCTCACGCAAGTGATCTGCCCGCACTGGCCTCCCAGAGTGCTGGGATTATAGGTGTGAGCCACCGTGCCCGGCCTGGAGGCAAGACTCCATTTCTAATCTTGGTTTTCTTCCTAAAACTCTTAGCCATCAAATATGCACTGCTGGCCTACTGTGCACTTGAGCACAGCAATGACCACGTAGCAGAATGAAGGGCAAAGGCACCTACTGCATGCAGCTTCCAGGAGTGCTCAGAGGCAGGGTAGCCGACACTCCCCCCCGTACCCCAAACCAAATCAAACCAAAAGTAGCATCTGCCCTCCTGCTGCTAGCCCAGACTTCCACTTCTTCCCCACGGCCCTGGGGCTGGGTGGGGAAGGGAGGGCCCTGGGGGCGTGGAAAGGGCGTGGGTTGAGGAGGAACCATGGCCTTGTAGGGTGGCCTTGCCAGGTGCCTGACTTCACAGGGCCTCTGTCTTCCACATGGGAAGTAGCTACTACCACTTTCTCACACCTCCAAGGGTTTCTGGCGGAGCCCCCGGGCTCTGCAAGGGTCCGGATGGTTCTGTGGCAGGATATCAGTCACCAGCCAAAGCAAGTGTGATGCAAAGTTTCTAATGAGAGAAAGGAAGGACCGTGCTGGCACGTGTGTGTGCTCGGGGTCGGCGGCGGGAAGGAAGGGGGAAGTGGTGCAGGTGGGGGCGGAAGAAGACAGAGAGAGACAAAAACAGAGAGAGGCAGAGACAGAGGGAGATAGAGACAGAGTCAGAGGAGAGGCAAAGATGGGAGTAAGACAGAAGGACTGACAGAGACAGGGAAAGACGTGAGTTGGGGGTATGGGTGGGAGGGAGAGAGAGGCAGGAAGAGACAAAAATAGAGACCAAGACAAGTTGGGTACAGTAGCTCACATCTATAATCCCAGCACTTTGGGAGGCTGAGGCAGGTGGATTGCTTGAGCCCAGGAGTTCAAGACCAGCCTGGACAACATAGTGAGACCCCGTTTCTACAAAAAATAAAAAATGAACCAGGTGTGGTGGTCTGTACCTGTGCTACTCAAGAGGCTGAGGCAGGAGAATTGCTTGAGCCCAGGAGTTCAAGGCTGCAGTGAACTATGATTGCACCATTGCACTCCAGCTTGGGCAACAGAGCAAGACAGACAGATGGAAAGAGGGAAAGAGGGAAAGAAGGAAGGAAGGAAGGAAGGAAGGAAGGAAGGAAGGAAGGAAGGAAGGAAGGGAGGGAGAAAGAGAGAAAGAAGGAGAAGAACACCAGACAGAGAAGGAGAGAGAGGAGGAGCAGAAGCAGCCTGGAGCAGGAACCTCAGCTCCCATACCATCAATGGACACCTACATCCCCGCACCCACATCTTAGCTACACAGCCATCCTGCCCTTCAGTCAAGACCCCTGGGGTTCCAGGGAAGAAGGGGAATGTTAAGAGAGAGGTCACTACTGGCCCAGCCCCCACCAACCCCCTCACCTGTTGTAGGGCTCTCCAAATTCCAAGAGGCTGAAGACTACCTTCCCAATGTTAATTACATCCAGAACCCCCTTTAATCTTACTCATTTTTGTTCAATGGATTCAATATTTTTAAAACATATTTTCAAGGGAAACTATAATCCGCTGCATTAAATTTAAAACATGCCCTAATTAAAAAGTTACTGCAAAAATAAAATCAAAGGAAGCAATGCTTTTTTATGCCTCCTGGCTGGAGTCGGCCGCCAGCCTAAGGAAGGATCCCCGAAGGAGGCGGCTGTGTCCCATCTTTGTTAAACAAGAGGAGTCTGGGGAGAAGCACTGAAGACACGTTAGCACCTAATGGAGGCTTTCTCCGGAGAGTCATCAGAGGGCTTCATACTAGGCAACAGCAGCCTCCAGGGCAAAATGCAAGTCCTTTGGCATAGCAATGAGGCTCTGTTGACTTAACTCCTGCCGACCTCCAATTTTATTATAACACCACCAATTCCCCCAACCCCCAGCACACACACAAACACACTACAGTCTCTGTGCCCTGAACTCTACCAAACCAGGCCACAGGGTCTCACACCTCCAAACTTTGGCACTTGTGATTCTCTCTCCTCGGAAAACCTTTCCTGACCTCCTCTACAAAGCTAACTCCTGCTGGCATCATGTGCACCCCTTCCTCCAAGAAGCCTTCCCTGACTGCCTCCAGTACCTGTACCAGTAACCCCCAAGACGCTTAGCATCCTGCGTGGCTTCTGGTGCTGCGTCCCTGATGACTCCATGGAATGTGCAGGGCTGGGACCCCATCCTAGTCCCT